TGTGGCAGACAGTGAGCCAGAAGTGAAGAAAGGTGACTGAGGTGATTTGGGGGGAAGATGATTGTTAAAGTGGAATGCTTGTCTTGTCAAAGGTTAATTTAGGTGAGAGTTGAGAGCTCAAGAACTTAAAGGCTAAGCATGAAAGAGCTGCTATAGAAACTTATCAAACACCACAGGTGGCACTGTGGGCTCAAGGCCATTTCTAATCACTAGGTGAAACTCTAGTCTGGATTCCTTAGCTGCCAGAGGTTACCTCCCTTCTCCTGTTGGTGGAGATTATGGCAGGGAGATTTGCCTGCCTCAGCAAATGCTCATTGTAAACAAAACAGAGCAGTTTTTTAAGTACCCAAAATATATCAACTAGGAGGAAATGCTGACACCATAAGCCTGAATCTCACCGATGGTTTTAGACATTTAAACTAATGGACTTGACAGCCCTTTGGAATCCATCCTGTTTGTAAGTAGAACTGCCTCCATATATTTTGTATTCTGAAAATTCTGCTTATCTTTCAATTGAATAGCAATAAAGCTAAGAGGGTCAAGGCATATAACGGGCACAAACCTGTTTCCTCAGGGTGAATGTTACAATTCCTGATGGAGTAGCTGTGTTGAGTGTAGCCGTAGCCAATGTGGTGGACACTCATGCAGCTGGACTTGTGTGTTCTCTGCCTTTGTGAGTCTGCTACTCACTATGGAGGCTGGATTTTGATGGTGACATCTCTAACTACCACACCTCCCTTTTTTAGCTCCTCACACGGAAACCGTGATACAGTGTTTATGTGGTTCAATATCAGATTTTTTAATTATCGTGGATTTTTAATAAATGTTATCTTTGGTGTAGTCAGATGCATTAAAATGAATAAGTCTTATTTTTATCAAAAATGTATTATTAAGGGGCCTGGTGATGTCATAGCAGTAATGCAACTGAACCTGCATGGGAAGAGTACTGGGTTCCCATCCTGAGACCTGAGCATGCTGGGTATACCCACATAACTGCCCATGATCCTGGCCCACTGAGGCTGGGGGTGGACCATGTGGTAGAGACCTGGTTGTGAGTGTCTCCCTCTTCCTCATCGGCCCACTGAGGCTGGGGGTGGACCATGTGGTGGAGACCTGATTGTGAGTGCCTCCCTCTTCCTCATGGAAGAAATAAACATGTTTTTTAAAAATGATTATCTAATGTAGAACATGGCAAGTTTCTTTTTTTTTCTTTCTTTCTTTCTTTCTTTTTTTTTTTTTTTTTTTTTTTTTTTTTTTTAGTTTTTGCTATAAGATGCATATGCTCTTCAGTGAGAAATGGGTAAATGGGGAGAGTGGTTTTTCCTATAGGACGCATGCCCTCACCAGAAAGACAGAGACAGACAGAGAGACAGAAAGCGAGAAATCACCCCCCAGGGGAGATGGCCACGCTACAATCCCTTCTCCTCCATTCTCCTCTCGGGATCTTGGGCACACACACACATGCACCCAGCGTGAGTTTAAACTAGGTCTGGAACTCGAACTGCAGTCAAGTACATGGGAGTTCAGCAACATAGCCATTATGCTAACTGCTGGTCCCAGTTTAGCCTTTTTAATAAGGCTATTTTGTCCAGCATATTCTGTTTTAAGGAAGTAACAAGATTTTTCTTTTTTTTTCTAAGGCCTAGGGCCTATATTTAGACATTCACTGTTGACTGTTCAGTTTCATGGCTGGACTAAACTATGTCATTATCTGTGTTGTTTTTTTGCCACAAATGTTTATATCAATGACATGTTTTGATTGTTCTTTTTAAGTCTCATTCTTATTCAAATAAGTTACTTGGTTATTTACCTTATTTTCTTCTAAATGTGCCTGAATTATAAAGGCGGGCTTCTTGTTAAATAACACATGCTTGATTGGTTGTCTATAAAGAAAAGCAGCAAAAGTTGTTCCTAAAGATTGAATAAGGATTCAACAAAGGGATTAGATAGCACTGGAAGAAGTACTAAGAGTACAGACATATGTATGTACAACTAGGAAAGACCCTGAAAATGTGTTGTTTGTGATGGCCACATTTATTTCTACTGCATTTAGGACTCTGTGCAAGCTTTCTGTTTATACATCAGAGAGGAAAAGCAAGAAAGAAGAGGATTAATGACACTAATATCACTCATCAGAGGCCAAGGAGTAAATGTTGGGAGAAGATGCCATCAAGCAGTCAGAGTAGGCCATACTTTATGCCCAGCATTGTATAATGTATGATGATGATGATGATGATGAACTACTACTTTGGTGGTGATAGATATGATAACTAATACTCACATAGCATTTACTATTATTACATTCTAAGGCATTGCTCTAAGACCTTTACATGTGTTAACTCAGGGACTCACAAGGACTCTAGGTAGGCCCTACTGTTATCATCTCATAATTCATTCAATCTCGTTAAAAACTACATAAAGTAGATCCTGTTATTAGGCCCACAACCGATGAAAAAATACGGTTAAGTAATTTGTCCAAGGTTATATAACCAGTAAGGGGTAGAGCTGGGTTTCAGATTTAGGCAGAATTCATGTTCTTAACTGCAGTCATAGGCTGGATAATGTCCCTAAAAGATATCCAGATCCTAATTCTTGGGAATGGGTGAATATTACCTTATATGACAAAAAAAGTCTTTATAGACATGACTAATTAAAGGAGATCATGCTGGATTGTAACCACAGATGGAGACAAGGAGATTCAACAGCAGAAGGCACTGTGACAAATGAGAAGTACTTTGCCTTGTTTTTGTTGTTGTTTTAATGTGCCAGAGGACTTGTGCTTGGTGGGGAAGGGGGATTGAGAAAGCAACCCTTCATGGGGGATGGTCACAGAGCAATCTCTTCTTCTCCATTTCTGCCACCTTTTGGGATTTGAGGCACACAAATACATGCAGCCCGCATGTTTCTCAGAACCATGCCACATGCTGTGGGCCATGTGGGATCTGGCCACTAGCTGGTACAGAGGTACTTTGCTTTTATTCTCTCCCTTTTCATCTTCCTCTTCCTCCCCTCTCCTCATCTGTCTTCTCCTTCCTTCTTCACTATCTCCCTCCTTTCTCCTCTTCCCTCTTCACAAGCAAATCTGCAACTTGAGGGCTGGTTCCCATCTGGTAACTGATTTCACGTGATAACTGTTGCTCAAATCCTTGGCCAATGAGCCTGAAATGCACTGAGTGCCCAAGATCTGGTGGGCTGAGGAGGAAAGGGATCATGGTTTACCTGGACCCTGTGAAGAGTGCTTCTTTCCCTCTTTCTCTCACGTGAACTCATATGCACTGTATCATAAATAAACACAATTTAATTTGTAACTTAATAAATTTTGCTTCCTTAGAAACTGTAAATAACTTATAAATACACTTTTGGGTAGAGAGGGTAGAAGTCTATTCTTTTTAAAAAACAATTTTTTTAATACAGTTAATCACTATATGTCATTACAGAATGCAAAATGAATTTTCCCAGCTTGAATATACTGTATATTATTCCAGGCAAAGATATTATCATACATGTTATCATCAATAGATAATTTTCCATTTTGTGTCTCTCAAATGTTAAGCTTCTTTCTTTTTCCCTTTGATTTTCTTCCTCTCACTCTCACCCATTTCCCCACCTCCTCCCATACTGTCTCTAGTATTCACAATTGTTCTCCATGCTTTTAGATATAAGTTTCCTTAGAGTGTAGACATTTGGTATATATTGAGTGGGGACATACAATGCTTCTCTTTCATAGTCTGGCTTGCTTCACTTAGCAGTAAATATTCCATATTTGTCCACTTTCTATCAAAGGGGTCTTATTATTTTTATGGCTGAGTAGTATTCCAAAGTATATATGTGCCACACCTGTACAATCCATTAATCTTTTTGTGATTATTTGGGTTCATCCCATGTCTTAGCAATTGTGTATAATGCTGTAATTGACATACATGGGCAAGTGCATTTCCTCTTGAGAGTATTCCTATCCTTTTGGTAGATACCCAGGAATGGAATTGCTGGATCATATGATAGTTCTATTTGTAGGTCTTTGAGGAATCTCTATATTGTGCTTCACAGTGGATGTACTAATTTACATTCTCACCAACAGTATAGGAGAGTTCTCTTTCGCCACAGCCAAGCCAATACTTATCATCTTTTAGTTTTTTAATCTTAGCCATTCTGACTGGGGTTAGGTGGTATCTCATTTGGGCAATTTGGATTGTGATGTTGAGCATTTCGTCATATGCCTTTTGGCTGTTCATATGTCTTCCTTAAAGAGTTGTCTGTTCAGCTCATTTGCCCATCTTTTAATTTGGGTTGCTTATCTTTTTTCAGTAAGTCCTTTGGGTTCCCTGTATATTCTGGTTATCAGTCCTTTATCTGAGTCATAGTTTGCAAATATATTCTCCCATTCTGAGAGTTTCAGATTTACTCTAATTATTGTTCTTTTGCTGTGTAGAATCTTTTTAACCTGATATAATCCCACTTGTCTGTTTTAGGGATTATTGCTTGTGCTTTGGGGGTCTTATTTAAGAAGTCTTTGCCTACTCCAGTGTCTCTGAGAGTTTTCCTTGTGTTATCCACCAGTAGTTTTCTAGTTTGAGGTCTTAGGTTTAGATCTTTAATCAATTTTGAGTTGACTTTTGTTAATGGTGAAGAAATAGGGGTCCAGTTTCATCTTTCTGCAGGTGGATACCTATTTTTCCAGCACCATTTTCTAAAGAGATTTTTTTTTTTTAACTGGATCATCTGGTGCCTTTTGTCAAAATTCAGTTGTCTGTGGGGCTGGCAGGTGGCATGGTGGTTAAGGGCGCTGGACTCCCATCTGGCTGACTGTGGTTCGAGTTTTGGACCTGATGGCTTGCCTTCTTCTTTTCTCTTTTTTCTCTGTCTCTGTCTCTCTCTCTCTCTTTGTGTGTGTGTGTGTGTGTGTGTGTGTGTGTGTGTGTGTATGTATGAGTGTCCCTTTCTGGTCAAATTAAAATAAATAATGTTAAGTAAAATAATTATTTTTAAAAAGAAACTCTGTTGTCTGTGTTTGGGAGTTTATTTCTGGGGTCTCTACTCTGTTCCATTGGTCCATCTGCCTGTTTTTGTTCCAATACCATGCTGTTTTGATTATCACAACTTTGTAGTATATTGGGTCATTGGGAAAGCCGTGATGCATTTTTACATAAAAACATACGTTTTGACTTTCCTAACAACCTAATATTTGGGGGACAGAGAGTGACATATCTTTATATGTTTACTGTTCTCACATAGCATTCCTTTGACATCATGGGGTCTTTTCTGATTCCAGACAAATTCTATGATTGATTTTTCTAAATCTGTGAAGAATATCTCTGGCAGTTTGACTAGTATTGCATTAAATTTGTAGATTAATTTGGGTAGGTTTGACATTTTGATTATATTAATGCTTCCAATCCAGGAACTTGGGATGTCTTTCTACTTTTTTGTGTTGTTTTCGATTTCTTTTCTTTTTCTTTTTTTGGAGAGGTTTTTTATTTTTTATTTATTTATTTATTTTTTGATATAGGGTGCATGCGCTTGCCAGAAAGACAGACAGAGACAGAGACAAAAGGTGAGAAATATCCTGCTCAAGGGGGGATGGCCACGCTGTAGTCCCTTCTCCTCCATTCTCCTCTTCGGATCTTGGGCATGCATATACATGCGCCTGGCATGAGTTTAAACCCCTGGGTCCGGGACTCAACTGCAGTCGACTACTTGGAAGTCCAGCAGCATAGCCATTATGCCAACTTCTGGTCCCCAATTTATTTTTTCAGTTTTTTATAGTTTTCCTTGTAGAGGACTTTGACGTCTTTGGTTATGTTTATTCCTAGGTATTATGTACTTTTTGTGGCTATTGAACAGTCACAAGTAAATTGTCTAGGATTTGTGATATATAAGGTCTCTGTCATGATTATGGTAGCATGAAAGCAGCCAATTGATAACACTTAAATGGATGTTTATTCCAATAAAACTTCATTTATAGATACCAAAAATAAAACCTCATATAATTTTTAGATGTCTTGTAATACTTTTCCTTCCAATCATTTAAATAAAAATCATTCTTGGTCTTTTTTTTTTTTTTGGAGAGTTTTTTTTGCTATAGGGCATGTGCGCTCGCCAGAAAGAGACAGAGAGGCAGGAAGCGAGAAATCACCCCCCAGGGGGATGGCCACGCCGCAATCCCTTCTCCTCCATTCTCCTCTTGGGATCTAGGGCATGCACTCACACGCGCCCGGCGTGAGTTTAAGCCTCCAGGTCCGGGACTTGAACCGCAGTCGACTACTTGGGAGTCCAGCGACATAGCCATTATGCTAACTGCTGGTCCCAATAAAAATCATTCTTAGCTCTCAGGTTGTACAAAAACAAGTGACAGGCCAGCTTTGATTGTGGGCAGTAGTTTGCTGGCCGTGTAAATGGCCTGTTACACACTAGCAGGTTATTCTTATATTTACATTCATAATCATTCTGCTTTTTAAAATATGTCACTAGCTTCTTAATCTATAATTCTGAGTCTTTAGAGTGTTCTAATTTTAAAGACCTTGATAAAGATTATAGGTGGTGTAAAGATTTACATGGCAGGTGATAGTTGCCTGCCCAGGAATCATCATTCTCCCCCTTTGTTGGTAGAACCCCTAGTTCAGATTTTATTCAGATACCTAGTGGTTGTACATTTCAGGAAATATTGTTTTGTTATTTTTCCTCTCAAGTTCAAGAGATATATCTTTAGTGCTTTGATCCAATTATAGTTTTATTCCTCCTGCAGTACTTGGTTTAAGACTGGTAGTTCTGGACAATAAGATATGTGGGAAAGAATTCTGCTGCATATAACTAAACCTGAAATATAAAAATGAGTTTTTGACAACTGGGGTTAAAATTTGTTGCACTTCAAGTAGTACAGGTTGCTGTATTGGCAAACATATTTCAAGAAATTATGTATACATATAATAGACTATTAATGTTTTCTGAATTTAAGTATAGAAAAATTAAATTTTTGTTATGTTGACATCAAACTTAAATCCTTTTTTGTGAAGGACTACTGTTTGTTATGTCCTATTTTTTATAATTTTTTTTTCATTTATGAAGTAATAGAACTGATAAGAAATGTAACCCTATGCCAGTAACCCTAGGAGTATTTACAATTTTACTGACTTATGGAAATTTTGAAAATCTGGGTGTTAGAAAATTCTAGTCTATACTCAGAATTACTCTTTGCCCCCCACCTTTTTTTTTTTTTTTCTTTTCCTATAGGGCACATATACTTGCTGGAGAGAGAGACACAGAAAGAAAGGGGAAGTGAGAAATCACCCCCCAGGAGGGGATGGCCATGCCACAATCCCTTCTTTATTCTCCTGTCAGGATTTTGAGGGTGGGGGGTGCACAGCATGATTTTCAAGCTGCCAGATATGGAACTCAGTTCGCCAAGTGGGCCATGTGGCCATTGTGGGATCCAGCTGCCTTAACTACCACACCACCTGCTGACTCCCCCGTCTTCTTTTTTAAACCAAATTTCTCTCTTTGCTTTATTTATAATATTTCATTCTATTGCCCATTTTGTCTCTTAACCTCCCCTCATGTTTGCTAAGATTGCTTCTCTTCTTTCACCTTAGTAGTTGTTTTTCAGTCTCCTTGACTGTCTTTACTTTGTTCCTTTCTGCTTGTAAATAGTAGGCTTGAGAATGAGTTTGCCATAAATAGAAACTATAAGTTACTAAGTAGAGACTATTTATTAAAGACTATCTTTTGATATTGAAGCAAGGTTTAGACATTAGAATTGAACAGTTTTCTTGATAACAAGTCTTATGTTTTGTGTGCGTGTGTGTGTGTGTGTTTCAAGTTTCAATTATCATCCCTAAAACTTTTCTCCTATCTCTTAGTAATTCCTCTCCTAACCCCCGGCAGCCAGTGATCTGCTTTCTGTCACTGTAGATGTTAGCATTTTTTTTTCTCTTTTCTTTTTTAGATTTTACCATAACACTCTTGCTGAGACAGGCTGGAGGGGAGTGGGTGGAGGGTAGAGAGTGGAAAAAAATCACCTTCCAGGGAAGATGGCCGTGCTGAAATCCTTTCCTCATTCTCCTCTCTGGATTTTGGGCACCCATGCACATGTACCCACTGTTTCTCAAGTCGCCAGGCCCAGGACTTGAGCTACATAGTCAGCCTTGTGCGAGTCAACTGCCTTAATCTTCATGTCACTAGCTGGCCTTCTAAGTGAACATTTTCTATAATTTTATATAGGTAGAATTATAAACTATGTGCTTTTTTTTGTATGACTTTTTTCTTCCAGAGTAATTAATTTGAGATTTATCCATGTTGTGTGTATCCGTGTGTATCATTAGAAAAAAAATTCTTAATGAGAGACATCTCAGAACACTAGACTACTATTATTAAGAAGCATTCTGAATTCTGTTCACATGATATGTTCTTTGTTTTAGGCTATGACTGTCCAAGGTTGATAATCACGAGAGTGCTCATTGCTACAGATGTCATTTGACTCTTCAGAGAAAATCTATCTAAAAGGAAATATCCACATGACCAGATTTACTTTTTTATTGAATGGCTTGATGGATTTCCTTTATTCTGATTCATACCAAAGCTGTCTGCAACCAAAGCAAGAAAGGATCCTGCATGAGTCAGTCCCAGAATGCCACTTTTACGTCACCAACAGGTGAAGAAAACCTCATGAACGGCAATCACAAAGACTCGGAGAGCATCACTGGTGAGTCCAGTGTAATAAATCTTGAAGTGCTGTTGCTTATAAGACAAAATGAGAGCACCTCTGTGTACGATTGGGCATGATGAAACCCCAGCCTCGCTTCCTGCATCTTAGAAGTAGATGGAATTAATCTCTCTATCCCGTTGTCTCTTATCACATTATCCAAATCTGCCTTGTGTGCTGTTACTTGTCGATGTCTGGCTGTCCTATATCCCTAGAGTCTCTGATGAGCAGGAACTGCATCACACTCATCTTCACAGGCAAGACAGTTACCAGTGTTTGTGTACCCTGCCAGCGCTTGAACAGTGCCTGGCACACAAGAGGTTCTCGGAAATTGCAGGGTATACAAACCCAGAACGTCCTATCTGCCAGACTAAATTAAAAAAACTCTGAGCATTCAAATTTTTTTCTAAACTTTGGCTCTAAAACTAATTCATCCACAAAACCTGACTCGTATAGCTATTTCTAGACTTTCCTCTTTTAGTTTGAACATTCCTGTTTGCTGAATATGCTTCCAAATGGAATGCCTCTGCAAAACCAGCTGGAAATGTTAAGCAACATATACTTAATGCACTTAATACCACTTTTCTGAAAAATAAAAAAAATCTGAGTTCTGAAACCCATCCAAATCCGAAGTTGGTTGTTTTTTTTTTTAGCTTTACTGAGGTATCTTTATAAAGATACAATAATATACACTGATGTGTGTGTGTACAGTTTGAATTTCAAACAATATGCACTCATGTAACCACCAGTATAATCAAATTACAGAAATTTATATCATCCCACCAAAGATTTTTCATACCCAGGTTTCTCCACCCCTTACCTCTGACTCCAGGTATCCAACAATCTGCTTTCTGCCACTATAGATTAAATTTGCTTATTGTAGAATTTCTTATAAATTGAATCTATGTCTTTTGTGTCTGGCTTCTTTCATGCAGCAAAATGTTTTTGAGATTTATCCACTTGTGGTAAGTAGAAGTAGTTCATTTCTTTTTATTACTAAGTTGCAGCCACTCATCTCCGCTGTAGCAGAAAAGCAACCATAGACAGTCCCTTAAAGTAAGTGTGTGATTGCGTTCTGATAAACTTGATTTACAGAACCAGGCAGACAGCAACGGTAGTTTGCTGACCTCCCGTCTACATTATCAACACTTGGTAATGTCAGCGCTCATGATTTTAGCCATTCTAGTAGGTGTGTACTGGTATCTCTTGTAGTCTTAATTTATGTTACCCTGATGACTAGTGATTTTGAGCATCTTTTTATGTGCTTATTGGCCATTTCTAGATTTTACTTTGAGTTACGTGTTCAAATCAGTAGCCCATTTTTAAAATTTGACTTACCATTGAATTGTAAACGTTCATTACTTTCCTAGACATAAGGCCTTTGATAGATGAATGGGTTACAAATATTTACTCTTAGTGACTTGCCTTTTCCTCTCTTTTAATTACCAGAGAGTACTGTCACCAGCATGAGACAGAGAGAGACAGAGAGATTAGTGGGACATGGTTACATCACAGTCCCCTTTCCTCCGTTTCTCTATCCCCCCTGGATTCTGGACATGCATGCGTACATACATGGCATAGTTTCTAAGCTGCTGGGGTCTGGAGTCAAACCATGGTCAGCCATGTAGGATCCAGCTCCCTTAACTGCTGTGCTTTGGGGAAAAATTGCCTTTACGTGTTACTACTGGTATCTTTGGAGGAGCAGAAGTTCTGAATGTTCATGTGGTCTGATGTATTGATTTTTACTTTTATTCATTTTTTGGTCTTTTGAGAAATTTTTGCATACCTCAAGATCACAATGGCTTTCTCCTGTCTTTTCTTTTGACAGTTTTATAGCTTTTGCTTCTACGTTTAGGTCAGTGATCCATTTTATAGTTATGGGTATGGAATGAGATTAGGGTCCAGGTTTTCTGTTTTGTTTTTTTTTGCTTTCCACGTGAATGTGTGGTTGTTCCTGTACCATTTATTGAAAATACCGTTTAATCCCTATTGAAATACCTTGAATTAGGGTCCAGGTTTTCTGTTTTGTTTTTTTGCTTTCCACGTGAATGTGTGGTTGCTCCTGTACCATTTATTGAAAGTACCATTTTATCCCTATTGAAATACCTTGGTAACCTCCTAAAAAAATTACTTAGTTTGAATATGTGGATCTATTTCTAGACTCTGTTCCTTTAATCTCTGAGTCTGTCTTTATAGAGATACCACGTTGTCTCGAATTACTATAACTCATAATAAATCTTTTCTTTTTATTTGGAGAGGTTTTCACTATAGGGCACGTGTGCTCGCGAGACAGAGAGAGACATAGAGACAGAAAGCGAGAAATCACCCCCCAGGGTGATTTCCATTCTCCTCTCGGGATCTTGGGCACGCACGCACACGCGCCCAGCGTGTTTTAAGCCACCAGGTCCGGGACGCGAACTGTGGTTGACTAGGTGCCAGTCCAGCGACATAGCCTTTACGCTAACTGCTGGTTCCCACTCATAGTAAATCTTAAAATCAGGTAATGTAGATTCTCCTACATTGTTCTTTTCCAAAGATAATTTTGGACATTCTAGATCTTTTACCTTTCCATATAAATCTTAGTATGAGCTTGTCAGTTTCTAACAAAAAGTGCTGAAATTTTGAATGGAATTATTAATAGTCTCTACAGAGAATTGATATCTTAAAATACTGAGCATTCTACTCTGTGAACTTGAGCTATCACTTTGTTTATTTAGGTCTTATTTAATTTCTCTGAGCAACATTTTATACAAGTCTTGCACACATTTCATTAAATTTAATCATTAAATACTTTTGGTTTTTTAATTTAAGACATTTAGTTTCATTCTTCAACTGTTTGTTACTATTATATAAAAATGAAATTATTTTTTATATTGACTTTATAGTCTACAACCTTTTTTAGCTGACTTACTAGTTTTGGTAACTTTCTGGTATAGTTCTTAGAATTTTCCACATACATCACAATATTATCTGCAATTGAGACAGTTTTACATATTCCTTTTCCATCTGAGTGCATTTTACTTCATGTCTTTTCAAATGAGACAAGATTTAGGTACATTGTTAAATAAACGTGGTAAAAGCAAACAGTCTTGCCATATTTTCCATTTTAGAAGAAAAGTTAGTATTTCTCCATAAGAGCTCTTAAGGATGCCTTTCATTAAATTGAAAAGTGTCCTTCTCCCTAGGTTGAATGAGAGGTTTTTGTCATGAATGGCTGTTGCATTTCGTCAAATCCTGTTCTCAATCTGTTGAAATGTTCATATGGTTCTCCTTTCTTAGTCTTAGTGTGGTGAATTATGTCAGTTTATTTATCAATTTTAAACTAACATTGCATTCCTGAGAAAAACTCCCCTTGGTCATGATGTACTATCTTTGTAATTTGATTTGATTTGATTTTCTAATGTTTTGTTGGAGTGTCCATTCTCTGTGTGTCCCCGTACCTTTGATTTGTACTTACTTTGCAATATCTTTGAGTCTTTTTCATATTGGACTAAGGCTCCCCTCATGAGTTGAGAAGTATTCCCTATGCTTTATTTGGAAAATGTTTATGTAGTATTTATATCACAGCGTTTGTCATCCTTTTACTTTTAACTTATGAATCTTTACATTTAAAGCATATCTCCTGGGGTCAGCAAGTAGTGTGGTGGTTGGGACCCTGGACTCCCACGTAGTCGACTATGGTAGTGTGGTGGTTGGGACCCTGGACTCCCACATAGTCGACTATGTCTCCGAGTCCTGGACCTGGTGACTTGTTTTCTCACTTTTCCTCTCTCTCTGTCTCTCTCTCTGTCTCTCTCTGGTGAGTGCTCGGTTCCTATAGCAAATTAAAGAAACATAATAATAATAATGATATATAAAATTAAATAAATAATTCTTTAAAAAAATAACAGGATATCTCCTACAGATTCCTTATAGCTGGGTCTTTTTATTTTTTTCAAATATAATCTGACAATCTCTACAATTAGGCTGTCTAGACTATCTGATTTTAATTTATCAGTAATTATCACTTTAGTTAAGTCTGCTGTGCTGCTATTTACTTCTTTGTTCCATTTGTTTTTGCCTTTTCCTCATTTTCTTTTTCTCCTTTCCCTTTTTTTGAATTTTTTTTTTTAGGATTTCATTTTAATTCCACAGTTGATTTATTAGCTATCACTCTTCTTTTTGTAGATTTAAGTTTTAATTTTGTATCCTTCTTCCCTGAAGAACTTTAATATTTCCTGTAACATAGGTCAACTGTCAATGAACAGTTAACATTTTTTTCCTTGTTTACAATCTTTCTTCCATGTTTGTTTTTTGTTTGTTTGTTTTTGCCACACGGTGCATGCATTCACCAGAGAAAAGGAAAGTGAGAAATCACCCCTTGGGGAAGATGGCCACATCATAATCTCTTCTCCCTTCTTGGTTTTCTCAGGATTTGGGGCCTGCACACACATGTGCCTGGAGTGATTTTTAAGCTACCAAGTCCCTGGTTTGAATTACTCTCGACCATGTGGTAGTCCAGTGCCTTAACCACCACACCACTTGCCAGCCCCTAATTCCACCTTTTTTTAAAAGTATTTTTTACTGATAGAGATTTCTAAGTTGACTTATTTTTTTCGTGCACTTTAATGATGTTCCTTTGTCATCTCACTTACTGTTGTCCAGTGAATAGTTCGAGTTTATTCTTTGTTTCTTTTAATATAATGTGTCTTTTTTCTCTCTGCTTTTAAGATTTTTCTCTTTTTGACTGTTTTTTGTCATTTTACTTGGGTGTGGTTTTCTTTATGTTTATCCTCCTTGGAGTTGTTGAACTTCTTTGAACTATGAGTTTATAGATTTTATTAAATTTGGAAACTTTTGGCCATTACTTGTTTGGATATTTTTATTTTCCTGCTGCCTCTCTGTTTTTCCTCTAGGACTCAAATTCCATGCTTGATATTATGATAAAAATCACTGATGCTTTGTTCAATTTTTCCCTGTCTTTTTCTTTCATCATTTAAGACACTGAAGGCCATTGCTAT